GCCTCTGCCTGGGTCTGTCTGTGTCTTTCCCCCCATCAACGGACCAAGCCACCCTGTCGCGTGTCAATGGGCCTCATCTTCTCGATGGGAAATGGCCCTTGAATGGTCCCAGCAGGGTCAATGTACCTGGCGCCACATCGAGGCTCTATTTTCGGGCGCGAGTTGCCAAAGAGATGCAACAGTGAGCGCTGACTCATCTTGCTGGTGCTCAGCAGGGAATGAGGGAATGACCCTTCTGCACCATCCTTATGGTTTCCTTTATTCGGGAATCCCTCGGCATCTTCCCTCATTCCCTACCGATGTCGCACCAGCAAGTCATGTGGGCGTGCCTGAAAAATAGGGTAACCCCACGATGGAACCCTGGCAAGTGGAAACATGGACCAAAACCTGCGGTCCAACTCCTGGTGGCTTAATTTTGACCCATACCCATGTCAGGTACAAAGCTACCGAGTCACGAGTCGGGCCAGTCGGGCGAAAGGGGCGCACTGCCACCCGTTCTCCGGGCATGGGGCCATCTTCAGCCCCTTTTTCCCGTTCTGCGTCTTTCCGTTGGGGTAACCGCCTGTGCCGAGTCGACCCGCAATTGGTAAGCAAAAAAACGTAAAAACCCAGAAGGGTGCAAACAGCGCAAGAAAACCGGAGAAAAAAACAGCACAGCAGCCACCAAAGAGCCGGAGATATGAAAAATACATAAAAAAGCAGCGGAACCGAATCTTCAAAGCAAATCGCCCTCCCTTGTGAACATTCTCTTCCATAATGTCTCAAAGGAGCACATAGCAGAATATACTTGCTGGGCAACCTGAGCGACTGCGTGGCTTGTGCAGATGTGTGAGAAGCACAAGGGCTTTCTGAGCAGAACTGCTTGCAAACTCGACCTATCCATGTGGGTATGGGTCAAAATTAAACCACCAGGGGACCGCCAGGGTTTAGTCCATGTTTCCATTTACCAGGGTTCCATTTTGGGTACATTTGTTTGACCCACAGCCATATGAAGCTTAACATGCTAGAAACTCCACGCAGACTCTTAGCATCGCCGGAAAACGCTACGAGCTGCAAGCGATTTTCTCCCCAGCAACTGCGATATCCTGCGCGGGAAGTGAGACATCGGCCAGGGACACAGTTGGCACTCGCAAACAGTCAAACAACTTCTCGAAGCAAGCCACTTGAGCGTAGTTTCCAACCGGAGCCAGAGGTCGTTCATGCAGTTAAGCATGGTACCAGCCCAATCATCAGCAGTCGCTTTCGTCCATCAGCTGAGTTTGGCCGAATTGCGTCACTTGCACCTGGGTTGCTGGACGAAAGCCGCCTTCACCCAAGATTTCTCTTGCAGTTCATGTATCCCAGGATAACTTGCTGAAAGGTGACCTATTTTGATATGAACCGTATTGTTGCGCGCGAGGCAAACAGCTGGCCGCGTCGGCCCTCAACTCTCACTCAAGGTCTTGCCGTACTTCTGATCGGTCTAATTGTCGTTGTTCAATGAAGAAGTACAGTGTGGAGGTGTCAAGAACATGAATCTCTTTCCAAAGATGCATTAACTTTGCATTCATTAAGTTCACCAACAGCCACCCTCACATGCCTGCGCATGTCGCCAGTTGGTGGCCACAAAAGTCGCTCAAGAAGCCGGATGATTTTGTTGAGGCTGGTAAGCTTGGGTTCAGTGGCTCGACGCGATGGCCACATTTCTGCCGAGGGGCAAAGTCGAAGCTCCAGACATTTGGCAAGCCCGCATGAGGGAAGCCCGGCCACAGCTCTGCCCCTGGCACAAGAAGCGCGCGCGCGTCGGTGCGGCTCCGAGTGCACTCCGAGAGCGCATCGCTCCGAACGCACTCCGACCAGAGCCCCGAAAGCTCCTTCTTCTTCTTCTTCTTCACCTCCTCCTCCTCCTCCTCCTTCTTCTTCTCCTTCTTCTTCCTTCTTCGTCTACTTCCTTCTTCGTATTCTTTGTCTTCTTCGTCTTCTTCTTCTTCTTCTTCTTCTTCTTCTGTTTCTTCTTCTTCTTCTTTGTCTTCTTCTTTGTCTTCTTCTTTGTCTTCTTCGTCTTCTTCTTCTTCTTCGTCTTCTTCGTCTTCTTCTTCTTATTCTTCTTCTGTTTCTTCTTCTTCTTCTTTGTCTTCTTCTTTGTCTTCTTCTTTGTCTTCTTCTTTGTCTTCTTCTTGTTCTTTTCCTTCTCCTTCTCCTTCTCCTTCTTCTTATTTTCTTCTTTCATCTGTCTCAGAGAGCTAGCTTTCAATAAGTTGCCGTACTACGGAAGTTCCTTCTAAACTGTCTTTGATAAGTGTATTTTTCTTGTATGTGTTTGTGTGTGTGTGTGTGTTGTGCGTATTGTTATGTACTTATTTGACAGCTGCTCATGCATGAGCTACCCTTGCCATTTGGAGCAAGTTCTGGTTAGGCAAGTATCATAAGATGATTACAATGAGCGCCCAAACCGATTCTCGTTGATTTCCTAACCAACTCGAGAAATCGCCTGTCAACCTCAAATGGGCAAAACAAATGTATCACTTCGAGCCTAGCCCAATGTTTCCTCAGGTAAGCAGATTAGGCAAACCCTGCACAATTAATTCTTGGGAGTGCCTGGAAAAGCGCGTGTGTTTCAACATGCAAAGACGGCTCTAAATCCCTGGATATTGGGATTCAGGACCAAGATTCAGAAACCGCCACAAACGATTGTAATAATCGGATCCAACAAAACTCGAAGAAAGGCAACTTACATTTTCAAGCACTCGGGTTTCCAAGCTCGGGATGTAATGCACACAGGTGAATCAAGGATTGTTGTGAATGTTGCATAGTTATCTTACAACGAGCTCTTGCTCAGTTGCAGGACTGCTCTCCAATCTCAGGCATTGCGTGCCTTCTATGAAGAAACCCTTGAAAATGCTTGAACTGGCGCATCCAACGTTACAAAATGATTCCAACGGTATATCTCCACCTTTTGCTGCTAGGCTGTCAGTTTGAACTTCCGATGAATTTGCAGCCACTACCCCACCAAAAAAACGCAGTGCTCTCATACGGTTTTACAAACAATAAACGTCTGTGTAGAAAAATGTACATTGCCAGCATATCTCTCTCTCTCTCTCTCTCTCTCTCTGCGAACACCCTCCCGATGCGTTTGCACATCTTGTCAACACGGTATTCGCCTCCATAGATTTCCCTGACGAATCTTAGAGCTGGGTCCAGGTCTGGATGGATGGACGGCTATAGGATTGTGAGGATTATATGGGTGTGGCTCAAAATTTCAGGATAGGCTTACGCAGGTTTAGTCTTTGGTTCCATTTGCCAAGGTGCCATTATGGCACCTTTATTGAGCCTCAGCAATATAAATACTTCAGCAACTGGCCTAAATTGAGCAAGAACGAAATGCTCGCCAGAGAAAAAACTGCCAAACGTTTGTTGACGGGGGCAAAAAGCCATGGCAAGGGCTGCCGCAAATGCAGCCGGCGCTGCCATCATCCGCATTCCACTGGAAAGGCTTCTGCACCTGGTGACCTGAGAAAAATGGTCTGAGGGGCCGCGGCGGCTCTTTGATCCTTGGCTGCCCTGTTTGGCTTGGTTGGGTTGGGTTGGGTTGGTTGGTTGGTTGGTTGGGTTGGTTGGTTGGGTGGGTGGGTGGGTGGGTGGGTTTTGGTGGTTGGTGGGTTGGTGGGTTGGTTTGGTGGGTTGGTGGGTTGGTGGGGTGGTGGGTTGGTGGGTTGGTGGGTGGGTTGGTTGGTTGGTTGGTTGGTTGGGTGGTTGGGTTGGTTGGTTGGTTGGGTTGGGTTGGGTTGGGTTGGGTTGGGTTGGGTTGGGTTGGGTTGGGTTGGGTTGGGTTGGGTTGGGTTGGGTTGGGTTGGGTTGGGTTGGGTTGGGTTGGGTTGGGTTGGGTTGGGTTGGGTTGGGTTGGGTTGGGTTGGGTTGGGTTGGGTTGGGTTGGGTTGGGTTGGGTTGGGTTGGGTTGGGTTGGGTTGGGTTGGGTTGGGTTGGGTTGGGTTGGGTTGGGTTGGGTTGGGTGGTTGGGTTGGGTTTGGTTGTGGGGTTGGGTTGGGGTTGGGTTGGATTGGGTTGGGTTGGGTTGGGTTGGGTTGGGTTGGGTTGGGTTGGGTTGGGTTGGGTTGGGTTGGGTTGGGTTGGGTTGGGTTGGGTTGGGTTGGGTTGGGTTGGGTTGGGTTGGGTTGGGTTGGGTTGGGTTGGGTTGGGTTGTGGGGTGGGGTGTTGGGTTGGGTTGGGTTGGGGGGTTGGCTGGTTGGTGGGTGGGTTGGGTTGGGTTGGGTTGTTGGGGTTGGGTTGGGGGTTGGGTTGGGTTGGGTTGGGTTTGGGTTGGGTTTGGGTTGGGTTGGGTTGGGTTGGGTTGGGGTTGGTGGGGTTGGGTTGGGTTTTGGGTTGGGTTGGGGTTGGGTTGGGTTGGGTTGGTTTGTTGGTTTGGTTTGGTTTGTTGGTTTGTTGGTTTTGTTGGTTGGTTTGTTGGTTTGTTGGTTTGTTGGTTTGTTGGTTTGTTGGTTTGTTGGTTTGTTGGTTTGTTGGTTTGTTGGTTTGTTGGTTTGTTGGTTTGTTGGTTTTGTTGGTTTTGTTGGTTTGTTGGTTTGTTGGTTTGTTGGTTTGTTGGTTTGTTGGTTTGTTGGTTTGTTGGTTTGTTGGTTTGTTGGTTTGTTGGTTTGTTGGTTTGTTGGTTTGTTGGTTGGTTGGTTGGTTGGTTGGTTGGTTGGTTGGTTGGTTGGTTGGGTGGGTGGGTGGGTGGGTGGGTGGGTGGGTGGGTGGGTGGGTGGGTTGGTTGGTTGTTTGGTTTGTTGGTTGGTTGGTTGGTTGGTTGGGTGGGTGGGTTGGTTGGTTGGTTGGTTGGATGGTTGGTTGGCATCCGTCTCGGGTTGGTTTTAAAGGCTTCATTGGCGAGTTAGATTGATACATGGCTGGATGACTGGAGTGATGCCCGCAGATTCCAACAACCAAAGCCTCCACCCAGAGGAAGGTGAGAATCCTTGAAGTCGGGGTGATGGTGGGAAGTGGTGAGCACTGAGACAATACGTGTGTGGAAAGGCACCTTGCCCAAACTTAGCCTCGGTCACTGGAACTATACTTGGATGTCTTCCACTATCGCTTCAGCCCGCCTTCACAATGCCACAAAAAGCATGCCACCTTCCTATCCAGACCTTGGCTGTGGATCAGTTGAGTGCTTCCCTAAAGAGTGCCTTTGCACCTCAGCGGATGAAGTGGAGCCGAAAAATGTGGAGCTACAGATTGAGAGTGATTCTCATGACTCCATAATTTTGCCTTTTTCACATAATTGAAGGACTGTTTGCTTTCCTGCACCGAGCACTCAAGTGGCAACTAGCATGTGCTGGGTTCAATGTCCAGTGGCTCTCTGCAACGAGGTGATTGAATCGCCAGCCATAACTGTCCCAGTGGCTGGGTCCACTGATCGCCTGCGCTTGAAGCTTCTTCAGCAGGCACCGGTTCACTACCTGGCGAACCCGGCTGGGAGTCTGCCAATGCCAACCGCACTCTAAGCCAACCGCTGGACGCATTGGGGGCCAAGAGGCTCACGTTTCAGTGTGGGTCAAAATCAAACCACCAGGACCTGGGTAATCCGCAAGAGGTCCTTGTTTCTATTTACCAATCAAGCAACCATTCAATTCCATGTTTGAAAACCACATGTGTCACAGCCATGTTGGGATTTAAAAACTTCCCTGGCGTTTCTGGAAGAAAAAAAGCGGGGGCACCAAACCCACCGTGACTCGCGTCCTTCCGCGGCTTCTTGCGAGCCTTGGCGTCGATGCCGCCGTTGGGGAGCTTCAGCACCGCGCTCAGGTCCATGCCTCAACGGGAGGTGGTGACAAATGGCTGTGGTCAAGCCTAGGGTCAAAATGGGTTGCCCTGGTAAACGAGAAAAACGGGCTGTAAATCCTGCATGTCGGCTTCCCGCTTTTTTGGAGTTCACGAAACGAGAAAGGCCCAGGCCTGGCGAATTACACAGTTCAGCTTCCCTCGTTTTTTGGGTTCGCGAAATGAGAAAGGCCCAAGCACTAGATCACCTGCACCTGGCAAATTGTTGACAAGCATTCAGCTTCCCTCGTTTTTGGTGGTGTGGAGCCGAATCGGTGGTTAAGTGCTTAAGGAGGGGAAGTCCCCATTTACTCTGCACAAGCCAGGGAAGTGCAAATGCCAAACACAGGGCTATGACACGTGGCTGTGGTGGTCAAAAATAGGGTTCCCAAAATGGGTTGCCGGTAAACGGAAGCAAGGACCAAAACCTGCGGTCCAATTCCAGGTGGTTTAGTTTTGACCCATACCCGCATTAGCATCACAAGGCAGCCCTTTTGGTGACATGATTGTCTACCATCTTAGTAGTAACCAACGTAGGATTGTACATCAAAAAAAGTTCAAGGTAAACGCTTGCTGGCTGGTGGCTGTTGCGAATATATTGGCTCCCTCCCCGCATCATATGCTACTTCTCAAACAAACACACCGAAATGCAAAAGTGTTGACTGTCGGCGCCCTGCTGAAATCTTTGCCAAACCGGGTGGAAGAGCTGTTTTACATCTGTGTTTACATGTTGGCGATGTGATTTGTCCACACAAGTACTCGCAGCGGAGTTGGGCAATCAATGTGTACCAGTGGCAGGTGGGTTGCTGTCCGACATCCCAAGCAACCTTGTTGCAACAAAGTGTTAGTAGAATATTATTCTGTCAACACATGGGAATGTACTCGTATTTCTAAAGAAAACTCAACACATTTTTGGTGATGCCCTCAATGTTGCTGGTCTTTGATTGCCCTATCTTCAACGGATGGCCATTTGTGGTGCTTTTAAAGATGCTTGATCAGGACGGTGCGTGCAGAGTTTTACGCTGCAGCATCCATGCAGTAGCCTGGCCAGGAATGCTGTTCCAAGGCTATTGCTCAGAAAAATAGGCTTACATGCCTGCACTCCAAATGTACATCTGATATTTGCGCAGCGCCTTTTTCGGCTTCTTGGCAAGGCTTCTGCAAGTGCAACCCGGACCAAGGCTCAAGGCACACAGGAGAAGCTCGAGGCAGCGGCGGGCCGAGATCTGATGCCCTGGATCGTTCGGAGGAGCGCTAGATGGGTACCTGAAGCGGCAGCCCGTAAGCCCGTGGCTCAGATACGGCGACCAGCGGTGGCAGAACCAGAGACGCATCTCTTCCAAAGCAACATGGTGGTGGGTCAAAAATACGCACCAGAAATGGAAGCCTAGGACCTAGCAAGTGGACACATGGACTAAAACCTGCGGTCCCTTGGGTGGATTAATTTTGACCCATGCCCGAATGGCACTTGGCAGAAAGCAGCACCTGTTCCAGCGCACCGGTTCCACATTCTGGTTGAGCTGCGCACACCGGGTAAGTCTGTGTGGAGGCATCAAGACATGACCCTCAGCAGAACATGCACAAAGGGCAAGCGCTTGTCAACACGAGCGAATCAACAAGAAAGGTCATTTGAAACTGAAACCACTGTCAGGTAACGCAAGACAACTCTAAATAGCTAAACAATCGTCACATGCAATGACAGGCAGGGACTCGGTGTAATAATCATGTCTTCCTACCTGGTAACCGTGTCCGCCTGCAACCAGCTTTACTCCACCGTCTCTAGGCCCATGCATGGCCTTTTGCAATGTTTGCCAAGAGTCCAGAAGATGTGGCAAACCCGGCTCGGATGCGAGGAGCACGTGTTCTGGTTCATGACACGGCGCATATCCTGCAAAGCCTCAACCAATGGGCGCATGGAAATAATGTGTACGTATAAGTACAAGTGCTTGTATATGTAAATGTGTACGTATATCTACGTGCATACAGTTGTATACATTGATGATCATTGATGACTGTGTATGTCTATGTATACACGGACAGAAATACGTGTGCATGGATGTGCGGATTTGTGCATGTGTATGTCATATGCAAACGCGCGCAGGTACGTACATACGCATGTACGCACTCAAGCATGCACGCCCGCAAGCACGAACGTATGTATGCGCATACGTGCGTACGTACGCCTGTGTCTGTGTGTGTGTGTGTGCCTGGGTGTCTGCATTGCTATGCATGCTTACATAAATAATAATTGTTGTATGTAATTGTGTCATTCATCGAACTTAAATAAATGCGTATCTGTATGTGTATATATATATATATATATGTGTATACACGTATTTGAGTATCTATTCATTTATCTACTTGTTTATGTGCCTGCTGATTTATTTATTATTTCATTTATTGATTTACTTATTTATGTTATTGTTGATTCATGTAGTGACTTGTTTGTACATATTGAATTTATTGTGTATATATTTACTTAGTGACTTATCCATGTATGTATCTAATTATCTCATTTAGTGTTTGTTTTATTGATGTAGTTGTTGGTGTTTAATTATGTAATTACTTGTGTAGATAGTTGTGCATTCACGTATGTGTTTTTTACATTTACTTGGTAACGTATTGATGTATGCATTATTTGCCTATCTATCTATCATTTTGTTTAATTATCTAGTTATTTGTTTATTTACTGACTTACTGAATTATTCACAACGAGGCACAAGTTTCAGGCCAATTTGCAAGCGAATCGCATCCCCAAAAAACACATTGGCCCATGAAAAAGTTTGCACCACAGCACAAGAGTCATCTCACAAAGCAAAAGCCTTCCATGCTGACAACTTGCAAGACAAACACTGTTCATGATGTGAGAGGCTCTGACACACAACAGGACAACTGCAGAAACAACGAACCCACGAGCTACTAGACAGACTGACAAACAAGCAAGGAAAAAAGAAACAAGCGAACAAGCAAAACAGGCAAACAAGCAAACTAACAAACAAACAAAACCTAGCAAACGAACTGATCTCCTTGGTAGCAAACCAGAAATCATCAAAACAAACCTGCTCAGAGTCGAATGTGGAACAAAAGGAAGGGAGACACAGCGATGACTCCACGGCCCGTGGCTTCTCTCAAGCAAAGCGTCGTTGACTCCAGGTGCCGCCAGCTGGAACGCCACAGACCGAGGGTTGCCCTGGGCGGATCGATCCGAGCCTTTTGGATCGCTTCCTCTTTCGTTGCAAGGCTCAAAGTCCATAAGGAACAGGCGACTGAAAATGAATTGGACAAACCCCCGACATCTCCCAAACAGGCAGTGAGTGTAAGTGCCTCAAGGGAAGCCGAGACAGGGCTCCATCTGTCACAGTTGGAAAATGTGACGCTAAGCATGGGAACAACAGGGTCTGTGGCAACTTGTTCTTGACCACTGCGCTACAGGCGATAAATCCAGCGCAAAATCAATCACTGAACAATCTATCTTTATTGGTCTATGAAGTCTCCAACAAGTATACTGAGTTGGTGCGCTATAGCGCGTGCTGTGGTGGGGCAGCACTTCTTAGATATAAGCAGCCTGGACAACATCAAATGGCCCCTTTGTCTGGCACGAAAAGGCACACAAATGCGCTCTTGCAATTCTCAACAGCGCAAAGTCCACTGGGGCACCCGGCATTGTAAGAATACAACGCACCATGTGTACGCTCAGCGGCGTTAAAACCTGGCAAGCTAAAGATACGTGGCCGAACGCAACTCGACATGCTGAAGCTCTGTCTGCCGGTGAAGATCAAGCCAAAAGATCGTCCCACCCACAACTGGCTAAGTGGACAGGCTGCATGATGCCGGTGATGCTAGCAATGCAAACGATGTTGCTGGGGCCGCAAATGATGCTTGTCATACTCGCATGATCAAACTCTGCCAGCTCTCAATGTGCAGCCCCCAAGGCCAACTTGTGCAAACGTCGCAGAAAGCCAAAATCCGAGTGTCCGGCCAGACAGCTCCCTAGTTTTGCCGAAGAAGGGCCGGTTGAAGGAGGCCCAGTACCTTCAGACGCTGCCGAATCCTTCGTGGTATTTTCCAAAATGGCTGCTATCCGGATTGCCATCTAAAGCTCTTACCACCAGCTTACCCCAACTTGCCTATCATCGTAGCACCAATGTCTTTACTGCGAGTTTTTCAAGCCAACTGCTCTTCACATTGCCCGAGCTCATAGCTTGGTGAAACATCTGCATGCGATGAAAAGCTGAGGCATCGAGGCAAACTGCGTGTATACGTGCCGCATGCTCATGGCAGCGTTGCCTGATACAGTTCTGTACGACTCGCGCGAACATTATTCTTGCCTCACTCTGTTTGTCATCACTCCAGTTGTGTGATGGAGTGTTGACATATTTTGAGACTTCAGTGTGCCAATGGTACGGAACAGCCCGCGGCTTTTGGTGGCCATGGAAAAAGGGCATGACTGCGTCAAGTCCATGGAACGCAGCACTGGTGGGGCATTCTCAATTGATGCGAAGGATCCGTCAGAAGCCTCCCTCAAATGAGTGCCCAATCTCCACTTGTGCGAGTTGCCCATCACAAACAGAAGCATGTTTCCAGAGCGACAGTCCCGGAAGGCAGCTGTTATCATTTGGATTCCGAGCTTATCCACTGAAAGAAAACCATGCAAAACCTGATGATGTAGTTGCCTTCAAGAAGCTATTGATCCTCATACTGAAGTGGTGGATTGCGCCAAAAAGCTGGGGTAGGGTGTCTCTCAGGGCATGATCCACACCCTGTGATGCTCTCTTGATGCTCGGCACCTGTGCTGCCGAAGATGTGCGCTCATGTCCTGAACGCGAAGATGCGCAACACATGTGGATGTTGGGGCCCTTCTTTTAAGTAATGGGCAGTCACAAAGATGGGCCATTGTCAATATCTTTAAGCAAACCAGAAATCATCTAGAACGTCAAACCTCCTGCAACGGCAACCAGTTTTGGAGGGGCGGTCCAATCCAAATTCCCTTCTTGAAGCCACGCAGAGGCTTACAGAATCTATCCAGGCAACTGCAAAACGGCTCACCTACCAAAAATACACCTAACGGAGGTTGCTGAACGACCTCGTTGCAAAGAAGAAGAAGAAGAAGAAGAAGTATTGCAGTGCTAACAAAGAATCCGCAATCCATTCCCTTACTGTCGTGTTCAGCATTTGCCAGCGTTAAACCTGTTGCCTTCCTTTTGCCCATGTGCGTGGCGGATCAGAGTGCCTTTCTGTTCCGTCTGGGCTGCCGACCCTGATCTCGGACACGCCAGGGATCATCTCTGCCACCCAGAAAGCGCCGTCCGGCAACTGGGAACGCACAAGACCCGTCTGCTGTTGACTAGATGAGCTTGAATGAGCGTGACGTCTTGACATGTCACAAATGGTGAAACAAGGTTGTACCTTTGCTTTCCAGTCGTAGTGTCTGAGAGAATCAATATCTTCTGATGGCAAGCACTACGTGGGTGTCTCAAATGATCAAATTTGGAAGAATCGTCAAGTTGATCCAGAAATTGATGCTTGGCTTCAAAGATTGGTATAATTGGTATGAACCCCTGAGTGACCTTTGGATGTCATGATGCTGATAGCAAGATGCTTTGACACTTGGGGATTTACGCTGTGCAAAAGAATGGGTGTAAGATCGGCCATCAAATCATCCTTGCTTTAGTTGCGCACCACTGGCCCCCACCAACTTCTTTATATAATGTACTAACCCAGCCTGACAGCATGGATGCTGTGGCTGCCTGAAGCTTGACCAGGAAAACATGCCTGGCCAGTTTCTGCATGCGGCAGAGTTGCAGGCTTGCCGCTCTCAAACCTCAGGGCGAGCGTGCAGAATTGAGCCATAGACTCACGAAGGTGACATGGGCCCGGAACCAAGGAAACTCTGCCAGCAACATGAGGCAGATTCTTGGCTTCAGGTCAAGTTCACGGAGTGCGGAGCAACTGCACAATTTTGGATGCTGGCGGGAAGATACTACACCATAAGCCCATGGATGGCCTTCCAGAACTGAGCCCAGCGCAGATTGTAGTCGGCAACCATCCACTGCGCTGCAAAGGTCCCTGTGTTGGTTTTGGAGAAGAGCTGAACCTCAGGAAATTGCCGCTAGGCCGCTAGGTGGTCTGTTGCAAACACTATACAAAGCTTGCTTGGCTTGCATCAGCGTTTGAGTAGCAGTGACTGATGTCTACTTCATGGAAAGGAGAAATATACCTCACTGAGAAAGCAACACGTTCAGCTGTAGAATTTCTCGAATATCTCTAGGCTTTTTGACGCAGGGCCTCCCAACAAAAGCGACTTTACAGAGTGCAAAAAAAAACACCCTTCCAAAGCGAAGAATGGTTCAATAACGCGGGTCCTGCACCATCTTTGTTTGGGACATTTCCAGATGTGAGCTCGCCGGGTGTCAGGCCCAGTCCGCCGCTGTCTTGGCCAGGCGGTTCACTGCCATCAAGTGCATGAAGTTCCTCGGCCAAGCCCGAGAGGCCGGACATTGCCAAGGCCAGCTACGCAGCTAAGAGTTTGGGGGAATTTTCGCCACCGGAGCCACCATGCCAATGACATTTTGGAAAAAAGGGGGCAAATGCAGCATGGTGCTCATGCAGTAGGCCTTCACAACAGGTGCAAAAATCTGCCTGCTTCTTCGGAGACAGAGAACATCGGCCACTGACTGGTTGAAGAAACGAAAATTCAAGAAACAGTCTCTGCTGGTCAACTAGTAGTGGCATGCAAGGGACATTATACTCAAGACCTTGAGGCTGAGACACTCTACCGAATCGAATACATGATCGTCCATTTTGTGCCTCGTGTTCATGAATCTCCCACCAGTCCAAAACAGTCACCCAAGACATCTGTCGTAACGGCAATCCACTCAGCCGGGCTGACCAAACTCCTGCCCCAGCCAGGTCCAATCTGCAGCCTGCCCTGCCCTGTGGCCCGCACGGGACGCTCAGGAATCGGGGGAAGTCCAGGACCCTCGGCCAAGGCTGTGGTGCCAGGGATGTTCCTTGCAGTCCTTGCTGTGAAGATGCTTCAGCATGACCAAGCAGAAATAGACATTGTGACGATGGAGTGATGGGAACAATATGAAAGCGGAATAGTGACTCTGCACTCACCAATGACCACATGAGAACGAGCGGAAGCCACCTGTCAAAGGTCGCAGCTCAAATTCGAAATCAGCCCAAAACACAGTAGGTTGAGGGAACATGGCCCGCTCATGAAAGTCAGTGAGGCTACAGCTCTTGCCCTGTGAGTCGAGTATCACAACCTTGCGTGGAAACCATGATAGCGCCGAGCGAACAACAATCCTTCTCACATGCAAACGAAACAACGATCATGGCCGAATTAACATCACCGGCATCCGGCATCACTGGCATCACTGTCATCACTGGCATCACTGTCATCACTGGCATCACTGACATCACGGGCAGTACCGGAATCACCGGCATCACTGGCATCACCGCCATCACTGACATCACTGAAAACACTGAAGTCACTGACATCACTGACATCACTGGCATCCCTGGCATCACTGACATCACTGGCATCACTGGCATCACTGGCATCACCGCCATCGCTGACATCACTGACATCACGGGCAGTACCGGAATCACCGGCATCACTGGCATCACCGCCATCACTGGCATCACTGACATCACTGGCATCACTGGCAGCACTGGCATCACTGGCACCACTGGCATCACTGGCATCACTGGCAGCAGGCATCACTGGCACCAATGGCATCACTGGCATCACGGCATCACTGGCATCACTGGCATCACTGGCATCACTGGCATCACTGGCATCACTGGCATCACTGGCATCACTGGCATCACTGGCATCACTGGCATCACTGGCATCACTGGCATCACTGGCATCACCGTAAAGCTCTTTTTTATCAGGCAACCATGGCGCACCATGAATCCCAATAATCCATGCTTGGTTGGGACACTCGCAAGTCACCAAGTACATATTGGCATTCTCAAAGCAAAGCTGCGAAACGGCTCGCGGGCCCCGGACTTGTCCCAGGCATTGGGGTCCAGCAGCACAAGGGAGGTTTCCATGGCCACGAGGCCTCAGGGCAGACAGGTGCCTTCACGACTGCGCGGAAGCGTCTGAACAACGTCCGGGGTCTTTTGAGACGCACCCATTTGGGGGTTGATCAAAAGGTCCTTTACATGCGATTACCCTTGGGGAAAGCACCAAAACCGATGACTTTCACCACGTAGGAAAAGTTGCCCATGTCAGTTTGGGGCAACAACTGTTCACCTTGCACTTCCCCCCCCCCCATTCGGGACAGAGAGCATAACCCCTGGTTGATGTTCATCAGGGGAGTCGGGACCCTGTTCGTGGGGGCTGGGAACACCGCTGTATAAATAGCACAGGGTTACGGATCTGGGATGAACATTGTCATGATAAGTTTCGTCCTGTTCTAAAGCTCAAGGAGTGGCTTGGTGACCATAAGGCTGACTTCTGTTCAAGTGTACCAATTCGGACGGCCACAAAGAGTTGCCCATGCCAACAAAGGTGACGACATCAGTGACCCATTCCAGAGTTCAAGGTGCTTTTGATGCGAAGCTAGCTATGATGCCGGCTCCAAATTCAGAGCCCATTTGGCACAACGGCCCCAGAGAACTGGGTGCGTTGGCCGCTGTTCAGCTCGTAGAAGTCGTCCGTGCCTGCCATGCAGAATACCATCAAATGGAAGAATCGATAGATGGGCAAAAGGATGGGTGTCCAGCAAAATCCTGAGCCTTGCAGTCATGTCGGGCCAACCGCCTGCTTCGGTGCTCGAATTACACTTGTGAACGTGATTTGGGAGTGCTTCCGTGTCATGGTCAAAGCAATCTGCCCAATGAGGGCGTGCTGTTGCCACATGGAGTCATTCCCTTCAAACCCTTGAAGATCCATCCTCATGCTTCTCATGAATCCTGTGGCTCACCAAAGGCTTGGAAAGCTGTCCAAGAGCGGAAACATCTGAACCTGAAATCATGCTACAGCCTGCCAAACCTTCTTGAGTTCCCCGTGTGGAGGTGAATTCTTCTACAGCCTACGCATAGCCCACTTTCTGAAATTGGCAGATTGGACGCTGATCGCTTGGAATTGGCTTCCCCTGAGGCAGCGGCTGGTCACGGCACCGGGGTAGGACGAGAAGGACATGCGCGTGGCAGCGGTCTCCGCTGCTGGCAGGGAGAAGTTGTAGAACCTCTGCCAACGAAGGGTTGATGCTCATACCATTGCAAGCCTGAGAGCCGCTGATCCGCATCCCCTGAAATTGCTCGTCAGCAGGTCTAGTGGGTTAGCCTGCACAGACATGAGCCGTTCTTTCCCATTGAAGTGATCTACCGAAACACTAAGTCCAGCAAACCCTCCTTTGTCAAAGTTGTTTGGCATGAGGGAAGACAATTACTCTGCAACTGATAGGCATGCATTCTCTGAGCTTCCTTGCAGCCTTCTGCTGGCAGGGCTTGCATTGTCAGATGTATGCATCTCACATCCCTATGCTTGCTGTGGGGCTCTTCCATTCTTATGGATATGGGGCAAGTTGGTCCCCTTGGAAAGATTCCTTGTGCGCCAGAATCAGCCCCCTTCCAAATGCTTGGCTCTGATGTCGTAAGTGCAGCACACAAGGGCCCCCTTATGTTGATGCATCCCATATCTTTGCAGTCCGCTGTAGCAATCCGTGGCCATGCTGAAAACTCCCGTGTGAAAAGCCGAGCAGCTTGAAAATGCGCGTCATCTTGCTGTAGTCATCCCAGGTGGTGTGACCTGGGCAGGCAAATGTCTTTCCTGGGATGCATAGATAGATGGATCACCATGCTGAGTTTCGAGGAAGAAAAAAACAAAAAACAAGCAAAATTAACATGGATGAGCTCGCTTCACCCCACATGAGATAGATAGAAAGAATAGAATGATAGATTGGTGGACAGATAGATAGATAGATAGACAGACAGACAGACAGACAGACAAACAAGATTAGATAGATATGTAGGTAGGTAGGTAGACAGATGGGTAGACAGATAGGTAGATAAGTAGGTAGGTAGACAGACAAACAGAGAGAGAGAGAGAGAGAGAATAGGAGAGATAGGGTAGGATTCGATTAGCCAGCTAGTTTTGATTCGGCTACATAAATAAAGATAAAGATGGAGATAGAGAGATAGAGAGATAGAGATCGGCTCGCGCTTTGGCAAGAAGCCGCCCATACAACGCTGAAGAGGTGCTGAGCTTTGAGTTTTGGATTTATAGCTATAGTCCCCCTGTTGCAGCACGTTGGGAAGCACCTTTGTAGCGAGAGGGACAGGGATAGAGATAGATAGGAAAGATAGGCGGTTGGGGCACAATGCGTCTTGTTGCGCTTGTTGTTTCTGCTCTGCTCTACGCTGTTCTGTGCTGTTCCTAGTTGTTTAGCATTATCATCTGGCTTGATTTGTCTGTCATCATTTTGGCAGGAGGCATGAGAGAAGGCTGACATTTTTTGTTGGGGGCCCTTTTGGGGTGCAGCGCTGTGTGGCGCCGTGCCAGCGATCCAAGCGCCTGGCCCATCAGCAAATCCATGTCCCCGTCCGCCAGGCGCACCAGAGCCGAGCAGCGGCCGCTCCTAGTCCGAGCAGCTCTCCCCAGCCCTCTCCACGACGAGGGTGACCCAAACTTCGGGCCTTGAATGTAAATGGTCTTCAAGGTAAATGGTGCTGTTATGATTCTCTAAAAAACCTGCAGAATGTCAGATGGTTCTTTGAAACCTGCAGAAACTCAGTCTCAACATTGGCCTTGCGTCGGAATCGGAGCTACTGCGAAACGAGGTGAAAAGTCGAACACCTTGCGACATCTCTGAGGCCGGCACTCTACCACACGCCGCTCCCAGTGGGCATCATCCAGGGGATCCTGGCTCAAGCTGCTGTTCATTCAACTCCCAACTGTACCAGGCCAGTGAAGTAGACATTGGTGCGCAAATCCCCCAGGAAGCCACACATCCCCCAGGAAGCCACACATCCCCCAGGAAGCCACACATCCCCCAGGAAGCCACAGATCCCCCAGGAAGCCACACATCTTGAAACTTGAGCCAGATGCGCAAAGCTCCGGAACTTTGCGCAAAAAAAAAGGGCAAACGCTGCTCTATACGCCACCTGCCAGCACCTCCTGATGCCCGCTCCTGAGAGCGCGACTTGCTGCGCTGCTGGAGGAAGGAAGGTGCCTCCCGGTGTGGTCAACAAGTCAAATCTGGTTGGGGCCTCTGGTGGATATCGTTTACATCCTTCGAGTCCTGCAAGGCTCCGCAATTGGCTCCCTCACCGCCAACCCCCTGGCATGCCTGAGACCGAGCAGCACGATGCTCTCGACTCTCTGGAGCGTACGCCTCGCAAGCACCAACAGCTTGCCGAAACAGGAACAAAACTCATGAGTCGAAATCGGATACTGGGATACTGGCATCGAGAACTGGCAAAAAGCAGAAACCACATGTTTGGCCAATAGGCTTCCTTGATATTGGACAAAGTGTCGGTGATTGCCTTGCTTTGCGGACGCGAGAGGACCTGTGGTGTCCTCTTCATCTTGATTGCGCATAACGATCATTACACATGAGAAAGAAGAAAGACCTCAACTCTGCTGCCGTATGTGAAATGTGTTCGCTTTCCGTTGCCTGCAAGAGCTGCGGCAGCTCGCCGCCAGCCTCAAATGAAAATTGCTCCGCTCAAATGCAGCCGCACAAAAAAAAAAAAACTCTACGTCGACACGAAGTCAACCGGTTGGAGGCGCGCCTGAGATGCGTGTGCTGTTGGAACGTGTAACAGTAAACGGCTAGCCGAGGATGGGAGTGTCTCACACTGTAGGCCTCCGCCTTTCTTATTGATCATTCACGGCAAGCTGGAAGGAAGTCGGCCATTCGCAGGCCCATTCGTTCTTCGGCCAAATGCAAGAACTTCGAAAAACTCGAAGTGTTGATTGCGCCCATGTGATGCATTTGAGACCTGGCATGGCAGATGGAGAGTGTCAAATCCGCTCAAACATCGCAGGCGCTGCAGCTCAGCCTCCGTCATCCCTCCAAATCTGTGAGCCTACTGCCTGGAGCGTACAGAATGGAGACCCAATCGCACGTCTCCGGAGCCCCCCTGAGCCGGCGACGTTGATGAGGAGCATATCGTCCAGCTCCAAGGTCTCCCCGCCGAAGCGCAAGGACGCGGCGTTGTAGCCTCGCCGATTGCAATGAGCAACGACCCGCAAGTGGCCCGCCGCAGCTGTCTGGTTTCCTTCTTGGGGAGATCCCGATTCATGCCCTACCAGAGAAGCTTGAATTTTGGGGACTGTAGCCTGGACAGCAACAAAGTGCCGTGTGATTTGCTGGGGCCTCATGGAGTCTTCTATCATATGCGATCTCTTGGCAGGAGCCCATTGGAGAAACCACAAAAACACAAACATGTTCAGGGGTCGGAGGCTGTCCCTATGTAAATTCCTAGCCATACCATGCCGAAGCTTTTGTACGGCCTTGGAGCCTCTTGATCTGAGGCCTGTGCCGTCGAGGACACCCCACATCTGGAAGAACCTGAACTCCGAGAACCGCTGCTCCCCGTGTCGTCGGGGCAACAAGTTGCGCTTGAAGCTGGGGTCACGGGCGTATAGCGCACCTGCTTCCAGTAGGGGTCTGCGGGCTCTTCTGAGAAGATGTGGTACCTGATGGCACGGGAAAGGCCGATGTTTGTCAGACGTGGCTGACCTGGTAAGACGGAAGATCCAGTGGATTGAAATGCGCTGTGGACAATCTTGCCGGGTGGGAAAACTGGGCAGGTCCACTTGTGTTTGTGGAACTCTGTAGACCCCGCCGTGTCCGTAACACAGCAGTGGTAAACTGATGGCAATCTTGCAAATTGCTCATGTTGCAAAAGCCTGGGTGGAGACTTGGCAAAAGCTGGTGCTTTCAAGAAGGCTCTCTTGCAGCCAACTTGGTGCATTGCCATGTTGAATCTCACTGCAAACAGCCAGCCGCGACTACCCAACTTCCTCGAGGCTGGCACTCCATGTTTGTCATCGCACGCGCATGTGCGAGCCTTGCCGCGTGGAGCAGCGAGCGGGTGGCTTGTCCAGGGAGCATCTTGCGATACAAGGACACTCTGCTCGGCAGGTCTCAAGTGAGAAGTGCACCGAAAGGTCAACTCACTTCTGCACATGTTATTCTACAATAATGCCGAAAGCTGATTTAAGGGAGCCCCGATTAAAGGACCTTTATCGTGTTGATCTCGTTGTACCCCCCCCCCCACTGGAATTGACTTGATGGCCGGACTCGGATACATTCCGGACTCGATGTTTCCTTGGTCTCCCGCTGATCCCGGAAGAGCTTCCGGATTGCCGGCATGGCACCGGCCTCGACCCCACGAACTTGTTGCCATCAAGGTACGCAACTGATCCCCGAACGACATCTCGGGGTCAAGGATTCGGAATGCGGAGAAGCCCGGAAGCGGAAATATGGCCATCGGCCAAAATCCCGGCTTTCCTCCAGTGCACATCCCAATCCCCACTGACATAGGTTCTAAAATGGGTCCTACCCCAAAATGGGATCCAATTGGTGTTGACCCACAGCCATCTGTTGGGGGGGGGGAGTTCGGGCGGCCCATAGTTGCTCAGTGACTCTCATCCTAATTCAAGCGTACATCATGCCCGCGGAGTTGGCATTCTAGAGCTATTCCTGGCATGTTGCGTTTTGAGCTATTTGTGTGTGTGTGTGTGTGCGCGTGTGTGCCAAGCAACCATGGCCAAGTGGAACAGCATGTGTTATGTGTAAACGTCTAGGCTGCTACAATGCTCAGTACACGTTGATGTCGTTTGAACCTTGGGATTCCAACAGCATGTGGGCTTCCTGCCATCCTGAGCCCTGGACAGTTTGCTCCTTGGAGAGGAGAAGCCTCGGAGGGGGCGAGGACCCTTCCGCCCCGAAATCCGGCTGTTGAATTCTGCCTTGGGTAGAGGTGATGTCACTTGAAGTAGACAAGGGGGCCATGCTGAGACGCAACGCGCGTGCTGACAACATGCAGTTGCACCCAAGCATCGCCATCTCTTTACCGTCACAGGCGACGCTCTTCTTCCCTCTGTTCATAGCCACTCTATCAACTCGGAACCAAAACCAAAAACCTGTGGACCAGAAACCACATCTGAATAGCATCACTTCCCGGCTCCATCAAGACTGGAGCCCAGCGGGCCCAAACCCACGCCGGCAATCTGCCACCAAGAAGCTTCTGGCTATTGGAATAGAACTCGGAGATGCGGACGCAGGTCAGCAAGCCCTCCAGATAGCCCGCGGCCTGAAGAGTTGCCTACTTGCTGGTGCGATAGGCAGGGAATGAGAAATGGAACGACCCCGAACTAAACCATCCAAATGGTGGTGTCCCAGGTGCATTCCCTCATTCCCTACTGAGCACCAGCAAGCCTACATCCTTTGCTTGTTCTGCCAAACATGAGAAGAAAAAGCACAAAAGCGTGAGTTTGCAAAACACCTGGTCGTGTGCGGAGGCCAATACTCCAAAGCAATTTGCCAAAGGGCATAGAGTCCCGGATTATCCGCATGTAGCATGATGCAAACAGTTTTGGATCCGGCCACGTGATGCAAACTACGCATGATACTCCACCCAATCCACTGATAAGACAAAAGGCATCGATCTGATTCTTAGGGGCTTGCTGGGAGTGAATCCCATCCAACACTAAACAACATCAGATTGATTCGAGGTCATGCGGCCAGACGGCTGTTCTCTGCACACTGTTTGCATGCTGCCAACCCATATCGATCCAGAGCGCATGTCATATTTGCTCATTCGCGTGCTTCCAAAGCATTCCAGGCAGAGCCTGCGCTGCGCAGAGTAGGTCTTATATAAGTTAAACCATGCCCAAAAGCACGGAAAGGTGTTTTTTTGATTTTCCTAGGTTCGGCGGGCACCAAGAAGGGCGTGTTGTACAGTAGTTCCTCACAAAATGCACCAGCTTTACACCAGCACCGGTACAGCTGATGACTTGCATCTTGTCATTCAATTGTCATTCAATACTGGCAAAAGAGGAGCGGCTGAGGCTCCCTGCGTACATCTTCACGTCGTTTGCGATGTTCTGGTCATCGGCGGTTTGCATGTGCAGCTCAGACCTTGCGAAACAGATAGGAAGGCTCATCACGAAGCCAGCTGCTCCCTGCTTGTGTGGAACGTGATCATGGCTCCCTTGAAAGGAAGTCATCCTTGAATCAAGAGTCTACGGGGTTGAGGCCATTCGGCAGGTCAAAAGCGAAGCTCTTGTTGGACCGCAATTCCCTTGTCCTGTTGAGTGGGACAAAAGGAAACAATTGCGCCCTTGCCCTACCTGCAGCACTGTTTGCCCTGAAAGGCGTGCTGCAGAGCATGCCTGAGCAAGTCTACATTTGATTTCCGACTTCCACCGAACCCTTTCCGACCAAAATGCGGCAGCCATGCTTGAACTTGCACGTTGATTTGCTCCTGTTGGAGCAGTTCAAAAGCATCTGTCAAGCAAACCTGTGGTCCATCCAACTCTCGACGCATCTCTAAGATCAGGGCAAAGACTGCTGGCCCTTCCCACAAGCATGAGAGTGTCGACCAAACCATACGAATCTTCCCTGGAATCATAGCATGAACCCTCCAGAGGTCCATGCAAGAATGTGTATGTACATAGCTGACATCTATACAAAAAGAACTTCACGATGATTTCCAACCACTTATCACTTACTAAACTTCATCTACCCAGTTTTGACTGTGGCTCAAATGTCAGAGTTGCCTGCTACTGACTTTGGCGCCCAAACTTCGATGACTCCATGCCCTCCTTCTGCCCTCTGCCCGCTTCCCTCGGTGCCCGGCCATCCCGAGCGCTGGATCTCGTCGGAGAAGGTCCCCCAAGCCACACCGCCCTGGGGCCTTGCCGTTCCGAAGTCCAAAAAGGTCCATGGCGAAAGGATCCAAAGTGCTTAGGGCGGTGTGTCCAACTCACCCAAGAGACTGGCGGTGTGTCCAACTCATTTGGCGGTGGGTCAAAAATAGGGTTACCCCAAAATGGAGCCTGGTAAATGGAAACACGGACTAAAACCTGCGGTCCCCTAGCGGTTTAATTTTGACAAACGCCCATTTCTAGGAATAGCGATTCAACCAGCTGAGTGGATGGGTCGCCTCGTTTGTTGTTCGAGAGCTGCCAGCACAAACAGGCAGAATGCCAAAGAAGCCACTTCACCCTGCATCCGGAAAGCCGTAAGGCAGCCGCAGGATTCCTTTCTGCACCATCAACGACTGGACCGTCTTGTCAAAGACGATGGTCAGGCCCTGCACGAGATGAACCACGTTGGCTTGAGGGCAGGGCTTGAACATCTGGCCGGCAGGAAGGCAGATTTGTGCCGGCTGTGTGTTACGACGCCAGTATCCTTGATATCCATGGAATTAAAACCCCGGTTATCCCAGTGAACATCCCAATCCCCACTAAAATAGGTTCTAAAATGGGTGGTGAATTCACCTACCAACCAAATTGGGATCCCGTTTAACGGTTTTGAACCATGGCCCAGAACTTAACCCCTCCCAAGTTGCAAGGCTCTCGCCCCATGCCTCGCCCTCCTTCAAGTCGGACCTCGCTCGGAAAACACGGGAACCCTAAGCCGCAAAGCGTCAGCTTTCAGGAGGCCATGCTACAAGCACATGAAATATATAGTTGTATATGAATGTATGTATGCATGCTTGCAT